CAAAAATGAAGAAAAAGAATTGCAACATTTCTGATCATTTCTAGAAAAAAAAATTACAAACATTGAAAAAAAAGGATTTCACTTGTATGTTGTTATGGGAAAAAAGTCATTAGGAGAACATTTTGACCACCTTCTGTGAAAACTTTGCTAATCAGGGGGATCCCAACTCTATAATAGCAGCCAAATTCTACAAACTTCTCAGTTCCTGGACCAATTGAGAATATTACAGCTCCTGAAGTAATATTCTGATCCTGGTTCACAGATACATTTTTGTGATATGAAAAAAAACATAACAATACTGCCACAAAAATGATGAGCTGTCTTTTAATATTTTCCAGTAAAAAAGGAAACAGCCATAACTTTGAAAGAACATTAGAATACCAAGAATATAATAAAACAAACTCAAACAAGTACCCATAATTTGAATTTCAAACTTTACACCTTTACAAAACACAGATACAAGACCTTTTGACATTATATTCAAGCAACCAGTAAAAACAGTCATCCAACCTCATCAGAGCAAAACCACTGAAGTTTCACATGACAGAGGGTAATTTTGCGGCTAAACAGTCTGACCTTTCATAAGTTTGGGTCTCGCGAAATTTACATCATAACAGTTATATTTTTAAACCTAAATTTCACACATTTTTTAAGAGTAAATGTTAGCTTCAATTCCATCAGGTCACAATGATTTATGAGATATTTGCATAATCCTATGGATTTTGCTGGAGAATTTACCAATAAAACTATTTGTGTGTCTGCTCTTAAGCTTTTCATGCTCTTCAAAGCAAGGATACAGATTTCTAGAATGTTATAAAAAGTATAAAGAATGGCTTTGTGGTTAAGATAAGGTGATAAATTGATGCACACTGCTTAGAATTTATTCACAAACCCACTTTTCAAGCAATGCACTTTGACACTGGCAAAGCCCATATTTGAGCTATATATTCGGAAGGGAAGTTCATTAATATTCTTAATATACTTGGAATTAAACCTGTTTAACACTGCTTTGGCGAAAGACTGGTATGTGCATTGAGTCTGCATTCTATTCCTTCTAGCAATGCAAAAGGAGACATTTCCCAAAAATTGGCCTTTTAATTTATCAAACTTCCTCAGAGAAATAAAGGAAATGAAGTAGTTTGTAAGCTTTTGACAACTGTATTTAACCCAGCTAAACCACAACTTGGAAAGACCAAACAATTCTGTAAATCCAATCCACAAGACACTATGTGGTTTAAATGGAAATTGGGGGATCAATATTCAATGCCCTAAGATCATAAAAAAAGCTATGACAAAACAAATATTAATATTAAAACTTCACTATTGCAAAACTTCATTACATATTCCTGTAAAAGGCGAAAGTTTTACTTAATAATTCACAACATTACCACTCCAATAACGATCATACTACGAGAGAGATTGTTTCATTTCTTCTTTAATTTCCGATTTGTCTTCTTAGTTGGATTTATAAAATCATCGTCTTTTCGCTGCCAATTTTCCCATGCAGTATACATTTTGGATATGAGATCGAACAAAGCCCGCGACATTAGTACTTCACTCGGTGGTAAGATATATACGGAGTTTGGGTAGCGCGTTCGCTGACCCGAGAAAACCGCGAAATTGGGAAAACAATCAACTTCACAATAAAAGAAATAACATATTCCATTCTGATTAATATCAATATTCAATAGCCGCGGGCAATCGCATACTGCGCAAAACAACAGTCGATTCTAAATTTAACATTCGCTTGTTATTACACTGAAGCAAAGAAGAAACTGGAGTGATTTGTGCGACCTCTGCTGACAAAGATAAACCTTCAGTGCAGTAATTACCCAACAACATGTGCTCTGAAATAAACGGTGCTGGTTCATCGTTAACCTCGATTGTTCGACAGACATAAGCATACCCTGTCGGCTTTAAGAAAAGTTTACCAAATGAACACGTTGTAGAACCGAAAGCAGCTCAGAGCGGAAAGTAATTTAATACTAACGGTTTGGAAGACTTTGCCGAAATTACATCACGAACTATTCACAAACTCGATTGAGAGTAAAATCCTATTCAAGACGTACGGTTGGCCTCGCGAAGAATCGAGGTGTATCCATTAGAACTGCCACAGAAAGTACTAGTTCCTTGGATAGGCTCGATTCATGGGAGCTTATAACACCCAACCCGATAAATTTTAAGCCTGTTTTCTCGGACATTCCACAGAGGAGATAGAAAAGATAAGGTTACAGAGGCAGCTATCATTATTTACTTTGATAACTTCAAAATTTACGGTAAATCCTTCGATTCCATCGTCTTTTCTGCCCACATGAATTAAATTAAGCGGCGCATAAAATTTTTGTAAAGCTATAAAAATCTTTAAGTAACTTAGCGTGTGTTCTTGTTTGGCGTATTCAGGGATTACCTAAAACCGGAACGACAGAATATTTAGAGTGACATAATTATTGCTTCAGGCTTATGCGTAAAGTAGCATCAAGCATGCACATCGATGTTTACTTTTGAATTTTGTTCAATTTCCTGTGGACCAAGTCGGATCGACCTATATTGAAGAAAATGACCTTGTAAACGAAATGCTCGCGGTCACACCGATCCGCGATTAACTCGAAATAAAATAAACGTAGAGGCAAGTTTTTCTTCTCGAAATCAGCTTAACGTGAAGAGCGCGTGCATAAAAATCGCTGGTTTTTGTATATTCGAAATGCCATTAGCAGATCCATTTTTCACTCAAACTTAATCCACACACTTTTAACACTTTGTACATTTTGTCGTAACTGACTCACCGTTAAATGCTTTTTCTTGAAGGTGGAACTGTCTCCTCATTTCGCTAACTTTCGACGAGACCGCTTTGTCAAAATCTTCGCTCGCAAAGACAGCGAAGCGATCTTCCATTTGCTGTGAGCAGCATTGCTTACCGTTGTCTTTCGGGCAGACGCGAAGGTCATCCCCTGATGTAAAGACAAAATGTGTTAGCGATAATATCAGAATTGAAGGCGAAATTTACTAAGTGATACCCCATGCCGAGAGAAGAATATTAACAAAACGTAGATATCACCGAGAATGGTCCGAAACAACCACATATTTACAAAGCTCACAGAGTGTTGGTATGGCACACTTCATGCAGCACTGTATACCTTTCACAGCCCATTGCGGTACATCACTATCTGTCAGCCTTTTCTGTCTGTAGGCAGTCTTCACTGTAGCACAGGACGGTTCGTTATCGTTATCTTGACCAAAACCAGAAGAAACGGTGGCAAGCACAACAAGAAAGACGTAGAAAGAGACCATTGTTGATAAAACTCCGAACGCAATCAACTGTGCTCTAAACACAAAATCTTGTCACTTCAAAGGTTTCACCGCACCACGTAATTCGTGAGTCGCTTGCAGTACGTTCGTCCACGCTTTCCGTCAAGTTGACCTAAAAGCTGCAACAATAAATGTTTGACTAAATCGTAACAGTGGGAAAGCAGTAAAACATAAATTCACCCGCTGAGCCTGTGATCGGAGTTCGCGCTAATTACTACGCTTGTTCCCGTTGACAAGCGTGGACAATTACACTTGGACATTACGTATTCTGAGGCGGGATCTTTTTTACCGCTAACCAATCAAAATTCAAATATCGTGAATTCCACAAATCACCCAATTTATTTATATTTACATCCCCTAAGCCGAGTCTTTTTTTTAGCACAATGATTACCAAAGAATTCCACATAGCAAACAACCAACAGGGACACAAAAAAGATTAAAGACTTATTAGAGGAAAACGAGTGCAAAAAAAATCAACTGCACGTTCAGCCCGCTAATTTCCGCATGCTTTAAACAAACTTGGTTAATTTAACAGATAAATACTCCAGTAATCGCATCAACGACGAAAAAAAAATCATTATAATAACAGTACGTCAGATCTTTTGTAAGAAAGGAAAATTAAGAGAAAGGCGTTGTATTGAAGTTTCTGTAAGACCAAGCACCATTTCAGGCGAAGGTGTTAATGGCTCTCTATCATCCCGAGGGTTTCTTTTTCCTTAAATCTCCTTCGTTTATAACGGTCTGGTCGAAATATTTTAACAGTAAATGTACAGCAAAGTCTGGATTTACGCGTCTTTGTCACATCAGTAAAACAACATGATTTAATGCGACAACATTAACGAGTTTCAGTTCTTTTGTCTGAAGTAGAACAAAACTAAGGAAGTTATTATCTTGAACTGCGCTGAACAGAAATTCAAAACTTTTAGAGAGGCGCATTTTTCAGCTGATTGTATCGATAAATGGATGGCACAAAAGCACCTTGCCATCGATAATTGCATCGGAAACATACCTCTCTCGGTTAAATCTGCTTCGGAAAAGGGCTCAGTTTTTTTCGATCGCAAGTACCTTGAAAAGTGAAGTTTTGACTGTGACTCGGTAAAAAACAGAATTCCCACTTGTTAGCTAAATTTCATTGCTGAAAAAAACTCTTTCACACATACAAATCAAATCCAACCGCATATAAAATAATTTACAGAGCAATTCGTAAAATGCACAGATAAGGATAGATGTAAGCTCTAATGTATTTTCTTTCCCTCGCCTGCTTACCTGCCCAAACCACTACCGACAGAAATTTTAATCAGTGTTTGCGCAATCGGGTAAATTCAGATAAGTTACTGATTAACTTTCCTCTTACTTAGTACAACAGTTAACTTTCATCCCATGTTTGTATACTTGTGCCCTGAAAGGCTACCTCAGAAAATAAGTGGGATTAGGTAGGAAAGTACGTGACTATCCGGTGAACACAATGGCACAGAGCTATCATTTGTTTCTGTTAATGACGTACAACTCCCTTGGGTGGTAATTCAAACGGAATTTACACAGCAGAAAATTATTTGAATAATGAGCGGTTTGTAGGGAGGGTCTTTTTCAAAAGTTTTTCTTTACATTCCAGTGTAACAATTGAAACTTAAACAAAAACAAGCCCAAGCTTACGAATTGGGTGTATCACTCATTCAAACAGGGAAACAGGCAGTTCTTATTCTGGCCACACTGGAATTCCGCTCTTAAAATTGAAATAAAGTACTAAACTGATCTTAACTAAAGAATGTTGATTTAGTTACAATAAGCTGAATTTTAGCCATTATAAGGATTCCTAAGGCAACCAAAATCTAAATGTGCCACCTTACAATATTTTGCAAGGTAACTTCTTTTCGCTCTCCCTAATATTTTAGTGCTATATCTGCACATTTCATTGCACTTGGCGCATCTGTGATTCAGCATTTTATCAAATCTTTACGTGAAACCAGACCCCAGTCCATTAAAGTTTTAAACCCCAACAGAATTATATTCTTTTATCTTCAGTAAGAGGCTTTAACTCAATAAGGGGCCTTTTATTTAGCTTTAACGAATAGTTAACGTCTAGTACTTTCTTCTCAGTGTATGGATTTGACTGATACATTAATTACAATCAAGCGTTTGGTATTAAATTGAAAAACAGGCACCTTGGAAAAAAAAAGGTAAATCTCACTGATTGCAAAACCGAAGTAATTTCACTCAGTTGGCAATCATCAGAAAAATTTTTTTTATATCTTTCACAACAGAAGCTTGAGATAATTTAGTTCATTTTTTTCCTTAGAAATCAACCTTTACAAGACTCAGCTTGTAAGGACAGCAGATAGTGGCATTCGATAAAAGTTCGCTGAAGTCAGCAACAAATTTGACAGGTGGTGAACAGGATGATTATGCAATATGGAAATAGTGGAAAACCATGCTAGAAAAGGTTGGCTTTGTTTCAAAGCAACACGTGTAACTTGATAACCTTTCGCTTGCCACACAACACATGGTGGGGGCAAATAAAAAAGATTACGGACAATTTTGTCTTCAAAGGATACAGCTAAGGTCAATCCTTTAATCAACAGGCCGATGCCCCTTCAGCTCTTATTTTTCTTTCTTCAACAAGACACTATGTTTGTCTCCTGATTTGAGTTCATCTGAAAGGTCGGCCCTAATTTAACTGTCCTTCGGTTAATCTAACATATGTTCCGGCGCGCAATTTATGGCAATGTATCCTCGCAAATCATAAAACAAACACGAAGTTGCAGGTCATTCTGGATTTTCATATTTTCTTGAAGTAAGCTTTGAGATAAGAGAAGCCGCGGGAAAACTTCTCGAAATTTCATGTTTCCGGCTTTCGTGGGTCAAAGATTGGTCGTGGGAAACCCATTTTTCGACGACGTGCGCTTTAAAATGGTTTTCTGGCAATAAACTTCATCCAGTAGTCAACATTCTTTTAAAAGTAGTATCATATTTTCAATACCGCGCGTTCGGTAATTAATTGAGGTGGTATCAGATACCACGAAATTCCCTGTCAATAACCATGTCAGGTAATGGTGTAAAATTAAAATAGAAAATAATATCTTTAACCAGCCAGACAGAACAACCGGCTTGTTGCTTAGCAAGCACACATGGAAGGGGCAGATATTTGAGCTTACTCTATGCGCTGATAACACACGCTTGAGAAACCGCGTGTTGTAGTCGATATCTCGTCCTGCGTTATCGCCGGAACTGCTCTGTTTTTCTTATTTGAAAAAACTGGATCATAATTTACCAGGCTAAACGTTTCGAAATAAACTGAAACTGCTACTGACTGAAGGTTGAAAAGGAAACATCTGTTTTCTAACTCAGTATCATCCCGTATTCACATCTAAAGTTTGACGATACTGCTCTCTTTTTTTTCTGGCAGATATCCTGAACTCTCAGGTCTGCTCCGATCGCATGATTGCAATTTTACTCGAGATCCGAGTACTCCCGAGAGGTTATTTCCGTCCTAACCGATTAGGAAACGTGGGAGGACAAGTATTTCCGAACTATGGGCGAGGTTGGAGAGAGAACTGACAAGTGCAAG